TAGGGTCTAGGGTTAGGGTTTAGGGTTTGGGGTTTGGGGTTTAGGGTTTAGGGTTCAGGGTTTAGGGTTTAGAGTTGAGGGTTTAGGTAGGGGGCTTAGGGTGCATGGATTGGTAGGACATGGGTAAAGAATAATGACAGAGAATACAACATATTCCTTGGTTCCCTGCTTGCAGTTAGGAGCAGTTTAGGAGGCTGAGGGCGGAAAGAGAAAGAATGGGCTTGCAAGCTCTACTGACTTCGTAAGTCTGCTCAGTATCTCCAAGAAACCCTTCAATAATCACCATAATTACCATTTGCTAAAGACCCACAAACATGCCTAATGTTTTGCCTTAGTTTGTGATTCTGTGTTTTTCGGGATTTTTCCCCACCCTCGGTGTGGGGCTGCGTCCGGAACTCTTCTCCTCGCCCGGTCTACTCCTCGCTCATCCCTGGAGTGCCCAACCCCAAAGTGTCCCTGGAGTGCCCAACTCTAGCGCCGAGTGTCCCCGGAGTGCCCAACCCCAGAGTCTCCCTGGAGTGCCCAGAATGTCCCCAAATCTCTCCGGTGCAACCCCAGTGTCCCCGGAGTGCCCAGCCCCAGAGTCTCCCTGGAGTACCCAACCCCAGAGTATCTCTACCAAGAGAGGGTGGGAATGTTCGAAGTATTTTTTTTTTGGGGGGGGGTTCGCGAGCAAATAGTAGATAACCAAACTTATTATCCATACTTACTAAGTCAAATGGGAGGAGCCCTCTTAGTCCTTGAGTCAGTGGTCTGGGCCGAAGACGCATTGTTTTCTCTCGCACTCCCAGTGCGTGTTGAAGATAGGGGCATGGGAAAGCATGGCGCCTCCTTCGGTGAGACGTCGGTCTTTGTTTGGGGGCTGGAGGCTTTGAAGCTTCAGAGTTTGGTAGCGGGAGCTACCCAAAAAAACCATAGTGGTCCTTAAGCTCTGAAAAAGGGACAGTTCCAGAACACCCTACAACCCTAACCCTCAAACCCTAAAGCCTGAAAGGCTGTTGCCAACGTGCTGGGTTTTGAGGTCCCCTAAACCCTAAACCCTAAACCCTAAACCCTAAACCCTAAACCCTAAACCCTAAACCCTAAACCCTAAACCCTAAACCCTAAACCCTAAACCCTAAACCCTAAACCCTAAATCGTGTCGGACAGGACTTCGGGCTTGAGATGGCGAACTAGGGTTGAGGGTTTAGGGTTTAGAGTTTCAGGTTGGGGTTGTAGTGCTCTGAGCCCTGCACCCTAAACACCCTAAGCACTAAATCCGGCCCCTAAGCCAGAAAGCCCTAAAATACCTCAACCTGTGAACATCCTACACCTAACCCCGACACCCCTAAACCCTAAAGCCCTGAATCCTAAAAAAAACCTCCACACCTGAACCCTTAAACCCCTTGCTCCCTAAACTGAAGAGGCCCTACACCTGAACCCTTAATTTAAGGGTTTAATAAACCCCTGCTCCCTAAAGTAAGGGTTTAATAAACCCCCTGCTCCCTAAACTGAAGAGGCCCTGGGGCAGGGTCGGAGCTCGGGTGCTCTGCTCCCAACGGCGCTTTGCCACGGGCCACTGGCAGCATCTCTGTCAGATATTTGGCGTTGGGATCTGGGCTCCTATAAGGTTTAGGGCCTAAAGTTGAGGGTTTGAGGTTGAGGGTGTACGTACGGTTTGAGGTTGAGGGTTTTAGGGTGTAGGGTTTGAGGCTTAGGGTTGAGGTTCTAAGGTGTAGGTCTTGGGTTTGAGGTTTAGGGCAAAGGTGTCAGGGTTTTAGGATTTGAGTCTAAGGGTTTAGGGTTCATACTTCGAAGCCCTTTGACCTAGGTCTACTTAGTATCCGCCGGAGGCCCTTCGAGAAACCCCGGGTAGCCCAACTTAATTACCCTGCCTACTAGCTCAAAAGGGCTTCCATGTCGGGCTGAGGGGGCCTTACAGTTTTGACAGTCCTATACTACCCCCCCCCCCAAAAAAAAAAAAACAAATAAATGGGCTTGTAATATGGCGTAACATGATATCGAGAATGTCTCAGCGCCCAAGCCCCTATGCCTAGAATAACTTTCATTCCCACTTGAAATTGGCTAGTATCTGTTTTTTGAACGAGTATATAGGTCACTGTAGGTACACCCTAATCCCTAAGCTAGCAGCTAAAGGTGCTGCGGGCTGCAGCAGCATGATTTTTCATGCGGAGCTTTAAGTGTGTGAGCGAATGCCCGAACAAAATCGTGCATGCATAAGGAGCGTTCGGAATGCCTGTTTCATAATGTAGGCAGAAGCCCGTTGTTCCCGGTTATTGGACTTTTTTTGGTAGCGAAGTTCACACATAAACACAGAGCCAGCCAGCAGAACAAGCGAAACAACGCTTTTAACACCACGTGACTCAAGGAACCTAACCACACGCACGTGTTGCGCGTAAATTCCTCTTCTCTGGGGCATGCACTGTGTACTCGCGGTATTTCTACTTGGTTCAGAAGTACCATGAACCTCCAAGTAGAGGGAAGTTACATGGTCCCTTAGTATGGGCCCTGGAAAGGGTAGCCCTTACATACCCCTTACATACCCTACACAAATTACGGGGGGTCCATACATCAGAACCCTTTAAAGTAGAGGGGAGTGCAAGATGGGAAGGGGGCTTGAGATCGTCCCGAGCCTAAGAGATCAACTCAGCAGCGCTGGGTCGTTGGGCTTAGGGTTGAGGGTCCAGGGAAACCCTAAACCCTAAACCCTAAACCCTAAACCCTACACCCTACACCCTACACCCTACACCCTACACCCTAATCCCTAAACCCTAAACCCTAAACCCTAAACCCTAAACCCTAAACCCTAAACCCTAAACCCTAAACCCTAAACCCTAAACCCTAAACCCTAAACCCTAAACCCTAAACCCTAAACCCTAGACCTAAACTAAACCCTACAAACCCTATAAGGCTCAGATGGCGGGCTGGCGCCACCTTGCAGCTGTGGCAGGCCCGGCCCCGCCACAGCGGCCAAAGACCCTTGGATGTGAGGGTTTAGGGTTTAGGGTTTAGGGTTTAGGGTTTAGGGTTTAGGGTTTAGGGTTTAGGGTTTAGGGTTTAGGGTTTAGCGCCCTTAGAGTCGATGAGTTTGGGCTTCAGGGCTGTAGGGCTTCTGGGCTTTAGGGTTTAGGGTTGAGGGTTTAGGGTTTAGGGTTTAGGGTTTAGGGTGTGCGGTTCTGGGCTTCAGGAGCTCAGGGCGTAGGGTTCTGAGCCTCAGGTTCTCGGGGAGTTGCGATCGTTTGTGTGGGAGGGGGGGGGGGGGGCTTAGGGTTTAGGGTTTCGGGTATTAGGGTATAGGGTATAGTGTTTAGGATAGGGGCTTGACAATTCTTAAAAGAAGTTTGGGTGTTTGGGCTTCTTGGGGCCTTGGCGGCCTTTGGTGTTTGAGTGCTTTGAGGTGTAGTTTGGACGTGGGCTTGAGGGGGGGCGGAAAGGGCTCCAGGGTTTTAGGGCATTTTGGACTTTAGGTTTTATGCGTCTCGGGCTTTTGGGATTTAGGCGTTCCCTTCAGGGTTTTGGGGCTTGGGGAGGGTTCTGGCTGTAGAGTTGTAGGGTTTACGTACGGGGCCTTAGTAGGGAATGAGGGCCTTCGGTACCTGTGAATCCGCAAGTTGTGATACGGGCTAGCTACTTCCCCAAGTCCCTACCAACCACTAGTAAGGGGGGTTACTCTGCTTGGAGGTTCATGGTACTTATTAACCAATTATAACTGTACTTATAACCATGTTCGGGCACTTAAGGGGCTTATAAGTGGGTTATAAGTACAGTTATAATTGGTGAATAAGTACCCTGAACCTTCAAGTGCCGCCCGCCGAGGATGATATCCGTCTCTGGGCCTCCTTTGTTCCGAGGCTGCAACTGTTGTGTGCTGGTTCTCAGTGCGGAATTTGAGAGGGTTAGGGACCATTTTGTAGTCCCTTTAAAATGGTAGTAATGTAGGGAGCTACAAGTACCTGGTAAGGTCAAGGCTGTTAATTAAAGGTTTTCGATGGCAAGATCTGCAGGAACATCTACAGGAAATGATCTTGGGCCAGAATGACCCGAAAGGGAATCCAGCAGGCTCATAATGCACTACGATCGCTACTTGCACTCGTTCTTACTGGAGGATTGCCTAAACAAACCCTAAAGGGATTTCATGGTGATAATTTCCTATTTTCAGAACCTAAACCCTAAACCCTAAACCCTAAACCCCTAAACCCTGCAAATAGTTCTGCTGCGAAGTTTGCATCGCCAGCTTGGGAGCCTCGACTGGGTCCTCATTCCCCAGTTCTTTGCAGGGCTTTGATCATCGCCTAAACCCAAAACCCTAAACCTCATGCTCTAGACCCTGAACCCTAAAACCTAGCCAGCCCCTCACCCCCCCCCCCCCCCCCCAAAAAAAAAAAAAAAACAATAATAATAATAATATAATAATAATAATTAAACATTAAAAGATAATAATCACGAGAATGATAAAATAAATAATGAATAATAAATAATAAATAATAATAATAATAATTAAAATAATCATAATCATAATAATAATAACAATAACCAAATGCCCCCATTTTCTCTTGGCCCCCCTTTGCGCCAGCCTGGGCCGAGACTTTCTGTCGATTCAGGGGTCAGCTGAGAGGCCAAGTCACAATATTCTTATTATGTTTATTATTATCAGTAGTATCAGCAGGAGTAGTAGTAGTAGTAGTAGTAGTAGTAGTAGTAGTAGTAGTAGTAGTAGTAGTAGTAGTAGTAGTAGTAGTAGTAGTAGTAGTGGTAGTAGTAGTCGTAGTATTATTATATATATTTTCTAGTTAAGGCTTTATCTTGGTAGCCCAGTGGTACCCTTTACCCTTTTTTGGGGGTTCTGGGTTCCCTTACAAAGTAACCAACCAAAGAAAGGGTGCCCTTATTATAATCTGGGTTCAAGGTTGAGCGATTAGGGGAGGGGACTATAGGGGCTAGAAGGAGGCTTATTTTGCTCAGGGTTTTGATTGTGGGGTGTTTCGCCCAAGCTTTCCCACATGTCCATCTCCGTGGGGGTGGCGCTGCTCAGTGGGAGGTCCTCGAACTTTGAGGTCAGCCCCGACACTCGCCTGGATGAGCTGAAGAGGCGTGCAGAGAGCGCGCTCGGGCTTCACGGCACCTTGCTTGCTCCCTCCGGGCGAAACCTCGACGGGCAAGGAACAGTCTCTGCTGCACAGCTTCAGACAGGGGACCAGCTCACTTTGCTCACAAGACCCGTGGCTCCATTGGCGACCAAACGGTCTTGGGCAGCGATCTTTGGCGACGGCTCCGTGATTACCTGGGGCGCCTCCAACCGGTCCGGCCGTCCCAGCAAAGACACCCAGCAGCAGCTCAAGAACGTCCAGCAACTTCAGGCTACGGACGAGGCTTTTGCTGCCATCCTCGATGATGGATCGGTTGTTGCCTGGGGTGAGTTGAACTATGGCGGTGACTGCAGCGCTGTGCAGGAACAGCTTGTTGATGTGCGCCACATCCAAGCCACGAGGTACGCCTTCGCGGCGCTCCGTGGCGACCGGTGCGTCGTCACCTGGGGCAGCTCAACAAGTGGCGGTGACAGCGGCAGCATACAGGAGCAGCTTAGGGATGTGCAGGGGATTCAATCCTCGAGTCGCGCGTTTGCGGCCGTTCTGGGCAATGGAGCTTGTGTGGCTTGGGGCGAAGCCTCCTTCGGTGGGGACAGCAGCGACGTCCAGGAGCAGCTATGGCAGGTGCAGAGCGTGCAGGCTTGCGACCAAGCCTTTGTGGCTTTGCGCAGCGATGGGTCTGTGGTCACCTGGGGCCAGCAGGCGCTCGCCTACAGCCTAACGCAGGAGCTGAACTATGTCTGTCAGATTCAAGCCAGTTCCATGGCCTTCGCAGCAATTCTTGAAGATGGATCCGTTGTGACATGGGGTGACATCTCGCGTGGAGGTGCAAGCGAAGAGGTCCAGAAGCGATTGAAGAGAGTGCAACACATCCAAGCAACGTTCTCTGCGTTTGCAGCCCTTCTGGAGGGCGGAGATGTTGTGACGTGGGGATTTTGCAGACATGGCGGTGACAGCAGCGGGGTTCAAGACCAACTCAAAGCTGTGAGTCAAATTCAGGCAACCTCCTCTGCTTTTGCCGCTCTCAGGGAAGATGGATCCGTGGTGGTTTGGGGGGACAGCAGCTTTGCTGAGTGAAGCCCAAAGTTGTTTGCCCGAGTTGGCCCTTAAACTCTCCCACTCTACTTGTGAAAGTCTCTGAGGTGGTGGTGACAGCACTAGCGTTCAGGAGCAGCTCACTGATGTGAAGCACATTCAAGCCAACCCACACGCCTTTGCTGCGCTGCGCGGCGACGGGTCAGTGGTGACTTGGGGCCATCTGCACTACGGCGGCGACAGTAGCGCAGTGCAGGAGCAGCTGCAGGGCGTGAAGCAGATCCAGGCTGCAAGCTGCTCCTTTGCGGCCATTAAGGCCGACGGATCCATTGTCTCCTGGGGCCTGGATTGTGGGAGCCGCGGGCGAACTTTCAGTCAAATGTCGGCAGAGGACGCTGGGAAGTTAGAGAAGCTAGGAATACCGAATCCGGAGTTGGGTCCTGGGAAGTCAGAGAAGCTAGGAATGCCGAATCCGGAGTTCCGGAATGACGGCGGCGAGTTGGCAAAACTTTGGCGATTCAGAGGTTCGAGGTGCCGAGGTCAAGTTCGGGCATGGGCGAGACACCCTAAAAACAGCAACCTCAAAGTGCCCAAACCCCCTAAAACCCGAGACTTCTCAAACCCGATGATCCGCAAGCCACTCAAGCCCCAGACGCTGCAACCACTCGTCCCCGGTGAAGGCCCAGTGACCCCCGTCGCTGCGTAGCGAACTGCTCCGCTCAAATTTGGTTTAGGGCTTATAGGGTTTAGGACCCTAAACCGTATACACCGTCGACGTCAAAATGCACCTTACCAAACCTCTGTAGCAACCCTCATGTAAAAACCCTAGACCCTCACATTTACCGTATCTGCCGAACCACCGAAATGCGAACGTCCTAAACCCTAAACCCTAAACCTTGAACCCTACTTGTGCCCAAGCAACTGATGAAGTTTGTGGTTTGGGTCATGGTAGCCCAGGGGTGCCCCTTGCATTTTTTGGGGGTTATGGGTTCCCTTATAAAGTAACCAACCCCAAAAAGGGGTGCCCTCATTGCAATATCGTTGCTGGGCTACCAAGGGGTGGATTTTTGGGGTCCTTAGGTTCCTCATAATTCGACCCAACGCAAGCCCTTCTCCTCCTACGTAGGTGGCTGAAGATGCCTCGGTACGGAGTTCGGGTTTAGGGTTTAGGGTTTAGGGTTTAGGGTTTAGGGTTTAGGGTTTAGGGTTTAGGGTGAGAGGTTTGGGGCATAGGGTTTTAGGGTTTAGGATTTCGAGTTCAGGGTCAGGGTTCAGGGGCGGTTTGGGGTTTAGGCTTCAGGGCTTAAGGTTTCGACTTAGGGTTTAGGTTTTAGGGTTTAGGTTCAGAGGTTTAGAGGTTTAGAGGTTTAGAGGTTGAGAGGTTTAGAGGTTTAGAGGTTTAGAGGTTTAGAGGTTTAGAGGTTGAGAGGTTTAGAGGTTTAGAGGTTTAGAGGTTTAGAGGTTTAGAGGTTTAGAGGTTTAGAGGTTTAGAGGTTGAGAGGTTTAGAGGTTTAGAGGTTTAGAGGTTTAGAGGTTTAGAGGTTGAGAGGTTGAGAGGTTTAGAGGTTGAGAGGTTTAGAGGTTTAGAGGTTGAGAGGTTTAGAGGTTTAGAGGTTTAGAGGTTTAGAGGTTTAGAGGTTGAGAGGTTGAGAGGTTTAGAGGTTGAGAGGTTTAGAGGTTTATAGAGGTTTGAGAGGTTTAGAGCTTACGGGTGTCGGATTCTCAAGAGGTTCGTGTACGTCACTCCGACGATCACCTGGGTAGCGGGCGTGCACGTCGGGATACGGATCGACCTCTTCAACGCCACAGCGCTAAGCCACTTGGCTAAGGGCGTAGGAATCAAGGAAGCTATCGACTAAAGCCCTATAGACCCCCGAAACCGTGATAATCCGCACAGCACCACCTAAACTCAAAGCGCCGACGCCCTAAGTATATTTAGCTAAAGCGAGGGTTTCCTTCAACCATGTTGGGGTACTTTCAAGCCAGGGTGTCAACCTCTCTTCCCCAGGAAAACTCAACCAGTACCCGATAAAGCTCCTAAGCCCTCAAACTGTACGGTTGGAGCCATGAGAACCTTAGACAAGCAGCTCAGTAAGTTTACTTGAAGTTTAGGGCTTCGGAGGGATGTTGGGCCGTGGGGTGCGCAGGCTTCCAGCATGCCACATGTTTGGGGGGGGGGGGGGGGGGAGGACGATTGGGTTTTGATTGCAGAAGCCAGGGTTTAGGGCTTGGGCATCAGAGGGCTCGGCTCACTGACATGCCACAGACAGCCGGAAAGGGTTCCCGAAACCCTAAACCCTAAGCCCTAAACCCCGACACTGTAAGCAAAGTTGATTCCGTAAGAACTAACATATGAAGAGTACTTGGAGGTTCATGGATGGCAGTGAATAACCAATTAGCTGTACTTTTAACTGTTCTTGTAACCATACTAGGGCACTTAAGGGGCTTATAAGTGGGTTGTAAGTACAGTTCTAATTGGTTAATAAGTGCCATGAACCTCCAAGTATGAGCCTGGTCTTGGACATTTATTGTAAAGTCGTTCCAGAACCTGACTAGGCCCTTAGGCTGTTTTATGCTTCCCTAATTGTGTTTAAGAGGATGATACGTGGGACCATTCTTCAGAAGGTGTTAACGGGCCAACACAAGGCTCCTTTCACTATTTTGCAAGGAATCCCACCCTAAACCCTAAGCCCTAAGCCCGAAACCCACCAAGCCCCTAAAGGGAGTCTATGAATCTATATCCCTCTCAAGGTTCCCTATAGACGAAAGGTCTGCGCAATGTGGGCATCCAGTTGGGCGTGAGCCGCCCAACGCGGATGGGCGAGCGCGTGGGCAAGGAGGGAAAGCCGTGGCATTACCCCGATGGCCTGTTAAAACCCTTGGGAGGCTTGGCCAGGGTTTAGGGTTTAGGGTTTAGGGTTTAGGGTTTTAGGGTTTTAGGGTTTAGGTTTTAGGGTTTAGGGTTTAGGGTTTAGGGTTTAGGGTTCGAAGTTCAGAAGCAGTCAATGCATTCCTACCCTGCTGATCGGCTGCGAAGTACTAAGTCACAAGGAATAGGACGCAGGGAGGTTTGGGGTTGAGGGTCTAGGCTGCTCTAGGCTCGAGTCCCTTTTTTTGGGCGGGGAGAGGGGAGGGGGGGGCGAGGGGGGTGGGTACTTCGAATCACAGGAGCCCTCATATCACCTTGGAGCACTCCATGGAGAGGCATAGTGGCTTGAGCGCGCACTTGCATGCTAATCCCTTCCCCCTAGTATTAAAGGCCCCCCCCCTCCCCCCCAACCCCCTGTACAAAAACCCCCAAAGGGTATTCGACTTGAACCCTAAAACCTTCAAAGCTGCAGGGGCATCCTATATCATCTTGCCTTCAGGGTGCTACAAATGCACCTCGCCCGACCCCGGTAATCCTAAATCCTAAACCCCAAACCTTGAACCCTAAACCCTGAACCCTAAACCCTAAACCCTAAACCCTAAACCCCACGAAGCTGAAGCCAAGGAAGCCCAAACATTGAAGCCATAACCAGCCGAAGTTCGGCGACCTTATGGCGCAACTGAGCCTGTTTGGGGCTTAGGGTTTAGGGTTTGGGGTCTTAGGTTTTAGGGTTTAGGGTTTGGGGTGTTAGGGTTTTTTAGGGCAGTAGGGTTTGGAGTTTTGGGCTTTATTCGGAGGTTTTTTGTGGTTTAATCGCTCCGAGTCGCCCTCACAGCGGCTTTGAGGACTCAGGGTTTTTAGGGTTTAGGGTTTTGGGTTTTGGGTTCGTGTAGGGTTTAGGGTCCAGGATTTCGGGTTCAGGGCGACATTCCAAAGATTGTTTTGAGAGGGTCCATAGAGTCCATACATGATTTTTGCGGAGTCCGTGGCCTCATCTTCATCCTTGCACGCACACCATTAGGGCTCTTAAGGGGTCACTTAAGGGGCTTATAAGTACAGTTATAATTGGTTAATAAGTACCACGAACCTCCAAGTACCCCCCTAACTTACTAAGCCTCAACCAAATCCTGAATCCCATCATCTACAGGGTTCCCGAATACTCCTCACTACTCCCTAAGGCTCCCTAAGGTTAACTAGGTACCCTAAGAACCCTATAAATCATAGGGCACGAACGAAACTTTCAGGTCCAACCATGGCCACCTTCATCCTAGCTAGGCGTTTGATATGCTTCCCCTCTGGGGCTATTGAAGAACCTATCCATAAGATTTTTCAGCGGGTTATACCATGCTTCCCCTATTCGGCTATTGAAGAACCGTTTCTATAGCAGTGGTACAAAACCCTGAACCCTTGACCCTTAACAAACCCACCCTTCCCTCAAGCAAAGCTGCTCAAGGCGACCTGTATCTCCACTTTCCACCGAAGCCCCTGAGCCTCGCGCTGACCCTGAGCTACACGAAGGTGCGCCCGGTGAGGATTTCGGGTTTAGGGCTTAGGGTTTGGGGTTGAGGGTTGAGGGTCAGGGATTGGGATTTCGGGTTTGGGTTTAGATTTCTTAGGGCTTTTGGAGAGTGCTTTGCGGCACTATCCACGCGTCAAGATTGACCCCTAAACGTGCAGTGGCCCAACTACTATAACTGTATCATATCGTATCATGGGAACCCGAGAACAGGGCACCCTGTCTTGGGGAACCTGCAAACGTAAGGTCTAAGCCTGCTGCGCTAGAGGTACCAAACGTGAACCCTACACCTTCAGCCTGGAGCCTTAAGCGTAGGCACCCTAAGCCCTAAACCCTAAACCCTAAACACTACAAAACCCTCAAGGGTTGGCCTTAAGACCCTGAACCCTGAACCTTCAGACGCGAAGCCTACACTCTAAAGCCTGCGTGATCTCAGAGCCCTAAACCCTAAACCCTAAACCCTGAACAAATGATAATCATAAAAATCAGAAGAAGAATAATTGTAGTAATCGTATTAACACTGATACTAATAGTAATGATGAACGTAGTAATGACAATGATATCGATAGTAATAAGAAAAATAGTCATAGCAACCCAGAGTCACTGCAGCCCTCAGTCTTTGGCCTTGCGAGGTCCTCCTGGAAAGCTCCTCAGGTCTTACCCCCATGAGCAGCTGGGCGGGCTTAGGGTTTGGGGCTTGCGGTTTAGGGTTTGGGGTTTGGGGTTTAGGGTTGCGGGTTTAGGGTTTGGGGTTTACCTGGGGTTTAGGGTTGTGGATTTAGGGTTTGGGGCTTAGGGTTTAGGATTTGTGGGTTGGGGTTCAGGGTTTAGGGTTTGGGGTTTGGGGTTTGGGGTTTGGGGTTTAGGGGTTTGGGGTTTAGGGGTTTAGGGGTTTAGGGGTTTAGGGGTTTAGGGGTTTAGGGGTTTAGGGGTTTAGGGGTTTAGGGGTTTGGGGTTTAGGGTTTAGTAAGGTTTAGGGTTTAGGGGTTTAGGGGTTTAGGGGTTTAGGGTTTAGGGTTTAGGGTTTAGGGTTTAGGGTTTAGGGTTTAGGGTTTAGGGTTTAGGGTTTAGGGTTTACGTTCTCATCTCTCCTCTCCTGGAATGGAGGGCTCCTTTATTAGGCTTAATTATCCCTGGAACCTAGGGGGGGTAGCCCGAACCCCGAGACCCTAAACCCTAAACCCTAGGGGGGGGGGGTAGTATAGAGTGGGGCAGTAGGGGAAGGGGGGCGGGGGGGGGCAGGGGAACCCTAAACCCTAAACCCTACTTTTGTGGGGGGGTTCTGCAGTGTGGCCTCTGGGGCTTAGGGTTTGGGGCTTTCGCAGCCCTAAACCCTAAACCCTTTAGGGCTGGCTCTACGGTTCAGGGTTTCTAGGCTTTAGGGTTTCTAGGCTTTAAGGGTTTCCAGACTTTAGGGAGTTGGGCTCAGGTTTTCATGGTTCAGGGTTCGGGGTTTAGAGTTTTGCGTTGGGATCAGGAAACTTAGGGCTGAGATCTTATTGGGGTTGAGGTCGAGAGCAGCTGAGGTGCTTGCACGCATGATGTTTACGGTTTCCGGTTGCCTGCGGCTGTCTTGAGTCACAGACATCGCAGCCCCACAGACCTAGCAAAAAAGCAGCTGAACCACCCACTGCGCCTGGCAAGGGTCATCTCTAAGAAATGTGCCTCTAAGTCTTACGTAGACCCTCAAGCCGCCCACTGCGCCTGGCAAGGGTCATCTCTAAGAAATGTGCCTCTAAGTCTTACGTAGGCCCTCAAACCCTAAACCCTCAAACCCGAAACCCTGAACCCTAAACCCTAAACCCTAAACCCGAAACCCTAAACCCTAAACCCTAAACCCTAAACACACCTGGCGCCCAGGTACTCCTGTGGCCAACTCGGCCGCCGAAGATGTCTGGAGCGACGATGACGCTTTCCTGAGGTTACCCGAAATGGCCTTAAGCCCGACATCGTAACCCTAGGGTTTAGGGTTTAGGGTTTAGGGTTTAGGGCTTAGGGTTTAGGGTTTAGGGTTTAGGGTTTAGGGTTTAGGGTTTAGGGTTTAGGGTTTAGGGTTAGGTTTAGGGTTTAGGGTTTAGGGTTTAGGGTTTAGGGTTTAGGGTTTAGGGTTTAGGGTTTAGGGTTTAGGGTTTAGGGTTTAGGGTTTAGGGTTTAGGGTTTTTGGTTTAGGGTTTAGGGTTTAGGGTTTAGGGTTTAGGGTTTAGGGTTTAGGGTTTAGGGTTTAGGTTTACTGTTCTGGAAGGAAGCCCTTAGGGGAAATAGTCGGACCACATCCTTAGCATTAGTTCGGGTTTCGAGCTTAGATGTTTCGTGGGATTGCAGGTGCATGGGGCTTGGGGCTAAGGGTTTAGAGTTCAGGGTTTAGGGTTCGAGCATGAGTCTGGCAACGTTGCTGCGCGGGTGTCAGCATCGGAGGTATGGAAAGAAGGGCCCGGGGCTTTTCTAAACTCTTGATTATGCAAAACCCCCAACGTCTGAAAAGGGAGGCGGCTATGCGGGACGTTTAGGATTTGGGGCTTAGAGTTTGGGATTGTGGAATTAGAGCTTGGGGTTCAGACCTTCTTACTAGTTATTCGCAGAGAGTTTGGGAATTAGGTACCTGCTAACCCTTCGAAACCCTAAACCCTTGTACGTGATAATTATTGTTATTTGGGGCATTAAAAACCACTAGGGTTTAGGGCTCAGGGTTTAGGGTTTAAGGTTGAGGGTTTAGGGCCTAGGGAGTGTAACACAGCCTAGGCATCACAAAACCTGAAGTGGTTCAGGGTTGAGGCTTAAGGGTACTAGTATGTATGTGTTGTCATCGACTTAGCATGGTGAAGTTGTGAAGCGCTATGGTTTCGAGCCTGTCCGAGACCACTGGCGCATGGCCAGGCGAAACATCATCTTTAACGGTTTTGTGAGAAAGGCAGCCATGGTGCGGTGTGGGCTTGACAGAGAAGCTGGTGAGTTCATTCTGAAGAGGCCACGCAAGCTCTCGCAGCGTTTCCGCGACTCAATGCTTCGACCCGTTGCACACAACAGAGCCGACTACCGAAGCTCCAGAGCGTACTGCTCTCGAAGATATGTGTTGGGCGTTTCTGGCTCTGTTTTGTACGGGAGCATGGAAACTGATGTCTGAGTGTGCCAAGAATCATCCATGCCCTACACCCTTAAAGGGCTAGGGTTTAGGGCTTAGGGTGTAGGGCCAGTTTAGGTTTTAGGGTTACGGGCCCCGGAAGCTCTGAGCCCTCCTGGGTTCAGGGTACTTAGGGTACACCCCCGAAGCACCTAAACCCTAAACCTTAAACCCTGAACCCTGAACCCTAAACCCTAAACCCGAAACCCCAAACCCTAAACCCTAAACCCTAAACCCTAAACCCTAAACCCTAAAACCTAAACCCTAAACCCTAAACCCTAAACCTTAAGCGTCCCAGGAAGAAGGTGGAGATCGATTTCATTTTGCCTGCTTTCCAGTGTCCATGGGCCTGTCCACATACTTCCGCATCTCTGCTTGGACTATGACCCTAAACCCTAAACCCTAAACCGCTTAGAAGGTGTATAGGCGTCATTGGGCTCAGATCTCTTTTGGGCTCAGATCTCGTAGGGCGGTAGGAGGTGATCTGGAAAAATCGTGCTTCGGAGGCTTTTTGGGGTTGGAAAGGACTTGTGAGTTGGCTTCTTCTTTGGGTTTAGGGTTTAGGCTTTAGGGTTTAGGGTTTAGGGTTAGGGTTTAGGGTTTGGGTTTAGGGGTTTAGGGATTTAGGGGTTTAGGGGTTTAGGGGTTTAGGGGTCTAGGGGTTTAGGGGTTTAGGGGGGTTTAGGGGGGTTTAGGGGTTTAGGGGTTTAGGGGTTTAGGGGTTTAGGAGAGGTGGAGGTGGAACTGGGGGGCGGCTTGGCTTAACGGCGGGATTTGGCGGCTTCGGGCTTTAGGTTTTTTTTCCAGTGTTTTCGGTCTAGGGCTTACTTGGAGGTTCAGGGTGTTTCTAGCCCAATTACGACTGTACATACAAGCCCTCTAAGTGCTCTAAGTAGGTTCTAAGTGGACTTCTACTCGGGGGTTGAAGTATAACCCTAAACCCTAAACCCTAAACCCTAAACCCTAAACCCTAAGATTTCAACAGCCTGCAGGTCGACCTAATATACCTCCCCCCAGAACCTCGAGTCGCTTGAAGCGCCTCCGCGGTTTAGGGTTGAGGTTGAAGGTTGAGGGGTCTGTAGGGTTGAGGGTTTGGAGTTTAGGGTTTTTGTAGGGTTTAGAGTTTAGGGTTTAGGGTTTAGGGTTTAGGGTTTAGGGTTTAGAGTTTAGGGTTTATAAGGCTTCAGGGTTTAGGGTTTAGGGTTTATGGGAGTCAGGGTTCAGGTTAATCTTGCAACCCTTGAGTTGCTCTGATGTTTTCCGGGGGAGATTTGGGAGGGTTTAGGGTTTAGGGTTGAGGATTTAGGGATATTCAGGGTTTAGGGTTTAGAGTTCAGGGTTTCTTTACTCCCAGCTGAAAGGTGAGCTTCGGGCCCCACATGTTGAACCCCTAAACCTCCGAATGCTAGACACCTGCCCCCGCCATATGGTCGGAGTTTAGGCTTTGGGTTTAGGGTTTAAAAGTTTAGGGTTTAGGGCTTGGGGCTTAGGGCTTAGGGCTTGGGGCCGCAATTCCTAAGACCCTGAAACCCTAAAACCCCTAAACCCCAAAAGCCTGAAGCCTAAACCCTAAAACCTTAACACCCAAAACCCTAAAACACTAAAGCCGAAGAACCCTAAAACCCTAAACCCCTTAAAGCCCCCTGAAACAATAATCAAAAAACCCTGAAACCCTACAACCCTACAACCCTAACAGCCAACAACCCTAAAACCCTAAGATCCTAAACCCGAACCCCGATCCACGGTTTAGGGTTTAGGGTTTAGGGTTTAGGGTTTAGGGTTTAGGGTTTAGGGTTTAGGGTTTAGGGTTTAGGGTTTAGGGTCTAAACCGCAGGTCCCTTCCTGGGCTTCGACTTCCCCGAGAAAGTGCCGCTGCCACCCCCTCTGCTGCTGGCTTCTTGCAGCCAGAGTCGCTGGGAGGAGGAGTAAGGTTTAGGGTTTAGGGTTTAGGGTTTAGGGTTTAGGGTTTAGGGTTCAGGGTTCAGGGTTTAGGCTTTAGGGTTTAGGGTTCAGGGTTTAGGGTTTAGGGTTCAGGGTTTCGAGATGAAGGTAGGGTTTCGGGCTCAGAGGTTTGTGGGTTCAGAGGTTTGGGGTTTGTGGTTTAGTGCTGCGGTCCCGTACTCTCCACTTAGGTGCATCCCAGCACCAGTTAACGGGTTGATGTTGCACTGGCTTTAGTTTACGCAGGGTCTAGAATCACAAGTTTCGAGAGATTATTCTGCGACATCAGTTTGTTGGGGTGACTCGCTATTGTCACAAGTAGTTTCTCCGGATGGTTGTTTTTTTTGTTTTAAGGGTTTGTGTTTAGGGTTAAGGGCTTACGCAGTTAGGCTTGGGGCCCTGAGGCCCTTGGGCTCCAGGAATCTTAAAGAGCCAGAGCCCGGAGAATCCAGAAAAATCCGGCCACTTCCATGTAAAGCCTTATTGAACTTGAGTATGAAACGAGGCACCAAACAAGTTTTGTGACAGGTAGTCCACGTGCCAGCCCGATAAGCTTTAGTAGGTTTGTTTGGGCACTCGCTGTAATCACAGTTTTTTGCGAGATTATTTTGTTCATTCCAGGCCTTTAAGGGCCCTACTGCCCTAGAAGCTTCAGCTTCAGGAAACCTTCAGGCCTTAAGCCCCCAAACCCTTCAGGTTTTAAGGGCCGCGGCTTCAGCTCTGGAAGGCTAGCTGGAAAACTTCAGGCCTTAAGGTCCTAAAGGCCGGAGGGTGGCTCCCCCCAAAAAAAAAATTGTTTAGGAGGGTCACCGTGCCATGCGTTTATAGCGGGTCCAAAATTTGTTGCGGGGGGCGGGGGGGGGGGGGGGGAATACTACCTACTAAAGCCAGAGCAACAGTAACCCAGAAACTCAGATATACCCTAAACCCTAAAACCTACAAAGCCTATGCTCCTTCTGAACCGTCAGGCCTTACAATCCCCGAAGGCTTAATGATGGCGCACGAGAGGGGTTGAGATTAAGCGTTCCCGAAACCCTGGCCTAAACCGATGAAAGCCCTAAACCTCTTCAGGCTGTAGATCCCTAAACCCCGAGCCCCTAACGCCTGAAACCAAAACCCCGTGCGAAACCCGCTTTTAGGGCTAGCAGCCCTTGGTGTGTACGAGGGGAGCCTCTTTCTTTTTTCATTTTATTTTTTATTTATTTTTTTTTTTTTTTTGGGGGGGGGGGGGGGGGGGGGGGGGTGGGGGGGTAAATTAGGGCTTGGGTTTTGGGGCGGGGGGGTGGGGGGAAAGGGGAATCCTCATGTGGGCCGCTGCAAATGCTCAGTAAGCAGTGTAACTACCAAGAATTGCATGATGCCCGGATCTCTCGCGAGATACACTGCTGCTCCGGTGTCCACCGTAGACGATGGAATTTCTGACCCCTAAACCTCCCCTAAGAATCCACCCGTTGCTCTGAACCCTCAACCCAGCCCTCAACCTACTGAGGGAGCTTATATAAGTCTTCCCTAAGAAGGATCCCCCTAAACCCTAAACCTTAAACCCTTATCATTCTTGTTTCAGCATAAATCAACACTGCCCACAAGAACGCTTCTAATGAAGTCGGCAGCTAGGCCCTCGACCCAAAACGCTCAACCCCCTAGCCCTAAACCCTAAACCCTAAACCCCTAATCCCAGAGACACGAACCCGCGAACTTCTCTCGCCATGGCAAGTGACTCTTCGGAGCATGAAACCGAAGCTTCGGAGCACGAAAGCGTGCACTGGCAGAGGGTGAAGTTGCATCGCTGTTGCAGACCAGACACCCTCCAAGGTACGAGCGTTATAGGGTTCAGGGTTTTGGGGTGCTATTCTAATAGTCTAAACCCCTATAGCCGTAAACCCCTAAGCCCCTAACCCCTAAACCCCTAAACCCCTGAACCCCTGAACCCCTGAACCCCTGAACCCCTGAACCCCTGAACCCCTGAACCCCTGAACCCCTGAACCCCTAAACCCCTAAACCCCTAAATCCTTTCTGAAGAGTTTGGGGCTCAGGGTATAGGATGCGCGAAGGGAGCAAGTCCCACATGTGAGGCCCTGAAGGGCCGGAGTAGTCGTCAGAGCTAAGAAGGTGTTGAAGGGTTTGCGCATAGGGTTTAAGGTTTCGGGACCCCTTCTTCTGCTTTCGAATTTTGATGTTCAGAGCCGACTGCATCATTGTGCCATGTTCTGAGGGCAATGTAAGCGAAAGGTTTACAGTTAGGATTTGGGGTTTAGAGTCGGGGTTTAGGGTTTAGGGTTTAGGGTTTAGGGTTTAGGGTTTAGGGTGTTAGGGTTTAGGCGTCTGCTTCACGCCAAGGTACAAGGTTAGCCTGGTGGTGGACGACCATGTCGGCTATGCAAGGGGAACGTGCCGTCATTCCATGCCGGCCGGGCCTGAAAAGTCCTTTATGGTACGACTGAAGGCCGGAGTTAGGGGTTTAGGGTTTAGGGTTTAGGGTTTAGGGTTTAGGGTTTAGGGTTTAAGGCTGCACACACCACGACCCCTGAAGGTCTATCCGTGGGGAACCCACCCCTTGGGCCGTCACTTGAACCCAGGATGCCCAGAGTGGTACCATTCCTCCCTTTTTGGATTTAGGGTTTAGGGTTTAGGGTTTAGGGTATAGGGTTTAGGGCTAGGATGCCGGAAATCTAGGATGCCCAGTATGTCCCTTATTCCTCTTTTTTGCTTTTGTTTTCTTCTTTCTCTGGGGGGTGGGGGAATTTAAGTTCCCCAAAATAGGGCACCCTCTTGTAATCCTAGGTTTCTGTGCAGCCTAAGGAGCGCATTCCTGGTAGCTTGGTAGCCCAGTGGTACACTTTTGCCTTTTGTCGGTTCGGGAAGTCCCTCATAAAGTAGCCAACCGAAAAAACGGGTACCCTGATTATGGTATGGCTAGAGGGCTACCAAGGAAATGCTGCCGCCACAAAGTGCGGATGCAGATTGGTCTTGCGAAGACATCGTTTACACGATCAAGGCCCGGAAGAGCCAAAACCTGCCATTCTTGCTGGGTCATGAAGGAACTAGGCACCCGCGTGTCTCTCTTCCAGATTGTTGATAGGGTGCCTTCTTCCCTTATTCCCCGCGAAGAGGCACTAAGTCACGGGTAGTTTCTCCGAGGGTTTTCCTAGGTTTTCCCCAATTCCTAATTACCCTCTAATGATGAATCCCCCCAACTACCCCGGGTAGAAAGAGGTTACAAACTATTCTTCTTAGAGGCTTCCTTGACAAGGTGGAACATCATGACGGCAATCAGTGGCATTCCGTGCAAAGGACACACACGCACACCTTCACAAGTGTGCATTTCGATCGAGGCTGGCACGACTTGCTTCCCTGGTCCAGCATCAGTGTGCAAAATGAGATTCGCGTGGAGGGCCAAGCTTTTCTTCCCATTCCGCCGGTTTCAGTTCCCGGGCAGCCGGTAGATTTGACACAGGAGCCTGCCTTTGTGAAGTTCCTTCTGCCGGACTCCCCGCCCATCTATTGCGACAAGCGCGTGCTCACCACACGCTCCGAGTATTTTGCAGAGATGTTTTCATCACAGTCAACCTGGAAAGAGGCATGCATGAATGAAGTCGACATGAGGTGCGACCCAGAGGCCAGCGTCGGTTCCATCAGTGCCATCTACCTGTATCTTGTATCAGACACCTTTCGTGCACAAGACGACATGCAGCTTGCGATATCAGTTCGGCGCCTGGCCGACCGATTTTGCCTCACCTCCTTAGTGGACAAGGCAGACTGGGAGTTGCGGAACATGCTCTGTGCTGAGAATGCCTTAGACATGCTGTCGCAGCCAAGTAGGCCCCTGGAATATTTTGTATTTGGCCCTTATTGAGGTCATGTAGATAGAGTAATTAAGGGGGGTTCATAGTTTAGGACTCTTGTTTCAGAGGCTTCTTCCTGCCATCCTAGGCAGGTATCTGGGACAGGAGGCACGCTGGAGCAAGCTTGCCTTGACATGATCAAAGCAGACCACTTTGAGCTCTTGGAGAGGCAGTTGCTGTGGCTGAGTTGGCATCCTTTTATGGGTTCCAGGGGCCCCCTTCAGGGTTTAGGGTTTAGGGGTCTAGGGTTGCATACATGTTTTTTTGTGTCCCCAAATCCAGCCCCCAGGTTGGAGCAGCTCGACATCATTGCCCAAAGCAACCCCGATCTTGTTCGGCAACTGTTTCGGCTCTTTGTGGCGGCAAGGAAGGAGGTACCTCGACGCTCAAGTGCCTTGGTAGCCCTGTGGTACCCTTTGCCTTGCTTTTTTGATTTGTGGGTTCCCGTTGAAAGTAACCAACCCAAAACAGGGTGCCCTTATCATAATATGGTTACGGGGCTACCAAGGTGCTGTGTGAAGAAGCCTGACGACTAAATGCAGTAGTTGCAGAGCTTCTCAGACATGGCACCTCTTTGTGCGCCGGATGCATGCCAGACCACGCACCCCTTGTCCCTAAACCCTAAGCCCTATACTACCTGCCACCAAGAACCTTCCCAAGCCACGGTTTCTGAATGCCGGGTTGGAATTCGACCTAAACCCTAAACCCTAAACCCTAAACCCTAAACCCTAAACCCTAAACCCTAAACCCTAAACCCTAAACCCTAAACCCTAAACCCTAAACCCTAAACCCTAAACCCTAAACCCTAAACCCTAAACCCTAATCCAGGCCACTCAGAAGGGTAAATTGCCGTCTTCAACAAAAACCTTCCAGCTTGTGTTCCGCAGCCCTCGTGCCAATGACATTGCACGCACCCTGTAAAGGAACGTTGCACCCTAAACCCTATACCCCCTCGAAACGCTCAACCCTAAACCCTATAATCCCAAAACCCTGAACTCACTAAACTCTGACAGAACAATATCATAAGATCTGTAGGCCTCTAAAGAATCTCTGGAAGAACTCTCGCCGCAGCATGGTTTGCCTCGGAATCGTTATCATTGCTGCTGCGTTGCAATGAGGGATAACATTTTGTCAAGTGCCACCATGGCAAAAGGTTCATCAGGGTTGTTTGAGAAACTTACTCGCGGCATGAAACAAAAAACTTGATGGATGTAAACGTAACAGCCGCCAAGCGCAAGTAAAGCGATATTTCCAGTACCTGGTACTGAAAATAAGCTTGACAACTGTCGGAGAAAGCCATAGGATGATTCCGTTCTCAAAGGCTAGATGTTGTACGCGTTACAAAAGGTTCATCTCACGCAAGCCATGCAGAAAAAGATCAAGGCATTTCAATCACAAGGCTTGCGCATGATACTCAATTTCAGCAGCACGTTTGTAAACCGTGCAACTGCAAACGATTGTGTGATTCGCGAAGCAAAACCAAGAGAGTCAGGGATCGTTCAAGACATTCTGCCAAACGAATCTGCCAGCGCGCTTAAGCCACTCTTGCCCAGGGCCCACAATCTATTGCTTGTCTGTTGGGCAGAAGTTTGCGTGTTCGATTCGCAGCTGGCCTTTCGTAAAGAGTCAGATTCTCAACTTCTCAGAATATGTCACACTATTGTGGCTCGTTTCTCAAGCATCATATCTGCGCTTTATCACCGTTGGCATTGGAGCCCGGAACCAAATCCCTTGTCCCTTAGCCCTAAACCCTAAGCCGAAGAAGGAGGCACCCTAAAACCCGAAAGCCTAAAGAGAAGCCGATTTGAAAGCTGCTGCCACCCGGTCTCACTGAACGCCTTAAGAGGAAAGACGCTCTGGCGACGAAAATGCACCCTAAACCCTAAACCCTAAACCCTAAACCCTAAACCCTAAACCCTAAACCCTAAACCCTAAACCCTAAACCCTAAACCCTAAACCCTAAACCTAAGGGTCCATGTACCCAAATAGGGAATACTTGGGCCTTAAAGTACTTCCTGTATAGGGTCGTGGGGGGCCCAAGTATATAAGATTGAGGTACTGGGGTTTAGGGTTTAGGGCTTTGGTGATTTTGGGGGCTTTGAGGCTGGGGCTGAAGAGCTTCGAGGGCAGTTCCATTCTCCGGGGGAGCTTTGCGGATTGAGCCTAAACCCTGAGCCCTAAGCCCTCGACCCTAAACCCTAAACACTCCATCGCAAGACTCATCCTCGACCTCGTTGCCGCTCTAGCCCCTGGTGCTTCGCAGGGAATGAGTCTCTACTAAGAGCCAGCCACTCTTATCAAACCCGAAACCCTAAACCCCAAATCCTCAACCCAAAGCCCGGCATCCTAAACCCTAAACCCTAAACGCAAGGCAAGACGCAGAGCGCCAAAGATCTGCAGCTGCCAGAGGATTGGACACCCAGCTGAGCGCTTGGTGACTTAGGGATTCTAGGGGTTTAGTGTTCAGGGTTTAGGGTTTAGGTTTTGGGGTTTAGGGTTTAGGATTCAGGGATTCCAGGGATTTGGGGATTCCAGTGATTTAGGGATTCCAGGGATTTAGGGTTCAGGGTTTAGGGTTTAGTGATTTTTGGGATTTAGGGTTCAGGGTGTAAATTTGTGGGATGCTAGGGATTCAGGGGCAAGGGTTCAGGGTTTAGGGATTCTAAGAATGAAGGGTTCAGGGTTTAGGGATTAGGGATTCTGTGTGGGTTTAGGGCTTAGGGTTTAGGGCGCTTTGGGGAACTCCTGCGGTTTTCAGGCTTAGGGTGGTGGGTGTTAAGGATTTAGGGTTTGCCTAAACCCCAAAACCAAAATCATAACCCGAAGCCTTCGACTAAACCAAAGAACCTCAAACTCTAGACCTTAGTCGATTGTTTGCCTAAGAACCCCTTATATACCCTATACAACCCAAGGGCCCATACTTCCGAACCCTTTAAAGGAGGTTAGGGACCACACTAAGGGCCCACTACCGGTAGAGGAGTTCGTTGTTAGTTGCATGTTCCCTCAATATGGGCCCATGTAACTACCCTTAGAATTTTGTGGGGTTCTTCAGCAAATAGTAGTGCTGAAGAGTGCTTCAGCGTGTTGGATTCTTTTAAAGGGCGGTGCGCTTGCGTTGGTGGCCGAGGGCTTCCCTTCTTTGGGTTGAGGTCTCAGGGTTTAGGGTGATTAGGGTTTAGGGTGATAGGTCTGGGGTTTAGGGTTTTCGGGTTTAGGGTTTTGGGGTTAGGGTTTAGGCCTTAGCGTTTACCGGTTGTGGACGCTTCATGCTAAAGATCCAGAACAAGCCGGGGAAAGTTGAGTCCCAGCTGACAGTAAGCCCGGACAGACCCCCACATGTCATCAACAGACACCTATAGGGTTGGGGGATAGGTTTAGGGTTTGGGGTTTAGTGTTTAGGGCTTAGGATTTAGGGTTTAGGGTTTAGGGTTTAGGGTTTAGGATTTAGGGTTTAGGGTTTAGGGTTTAGGGACCCTAAACCCTACCCACGCACTTCTTCAGCTAAGGACCCTGCGCGGTTTTCACTGCCTTTCTGGGCCGGGGGCTCGCTGCCTCGCCGGCATCGCGTGCGCTGCCTGGCCGAGATGAGAGGGCTTTCGGCTTCCGGGGTTTAGCTTCTTAGTTTTGAGGGTTTAGGGTTTAGGGTTTAGGGTTTAGGGTTTAGGGTTTAGGGCTGTCGGCTTCAGGGGTTTCAGGGCTTTTAGGGGTTTAGGGTTTTGGGGTTTAGGGTGTAGTTTCTTAGTTTCAGGGTTAGGGTTTAGGGTTTAGGGCTTTTGCCTTCAGGGATTTAGGGTTTAGGGCTTCTAGCTTCAGGGGTTTTAGGGTTTTAGGGGTTTTAGGGGGTTTTACGGGTTTTAGGGGTTAGGAGTTCGGGAGTAGGGGTTGGGGGTTGGTGGTTTGGGGTTCGGGGTTTAGCGGTTAGGTTCAGGGGTGTAGGGTACATGGGTTTCAGGATTTAGTGGTGTGAACTTTACGGGTTTGGGGGAGTTAGGAGTTAATGTGCTAAGTGAAGAAGACAAGGAAAAGGACCACATGCCACATCTTTAACATATTGAGTTCACTTGACAAGGATACAATGTTAAGAGAGCTCCCTGCATTAGACAACTTTTGTTTTTTGTGTAGCTTGTAATACGATGGGCGAGGACAATATTTAAGCAGCGGTCTAGAAGCGCCAAAATTTGGCCGTTGGTCCTTGCCTGTCAAGTCTTTTACCCTTGTTTCACGGCACTGAAGGTGCGAGATGTAAGAACCCCACATTCACCCTCAATATTTCTCTCGGGACTATGAGGGGATGATCGTGGTATTTTGTTTAGACCGCTGTATGAATTCTTAGAGCGCCTAGGGTGTAGAAGATTCGGGCTGTATTTGGGTCCGGGTGAAGATTCTAACTTAATTACGCACTCCTCAGCGAACCCTAAACCCCAAACTGCAAACCCCCACGCAGGCTAACTTACGCACCCTAATCTAAACCTGAGCCCCAAGCTGCAAACTCCCAAACCCGAAACCCTAAACCCCAAACCCCAAACCCTAAACCCTAAACCCCAAACCCTAAACCCTAAACCCTAAACCCCCAACCGCTCAGCAGGACAACGAGACTCTGCTGTGCTTCATCCTTCGGCATTCCCGTGATTCGCCGAGCTTGGAGATCCGCTCCAACAACGAAGCCTGCCTGCACAGAGAGATCAGGGGTGTGTGCCCCCCCTCAACCCTAAACCCTAAACCCTAAACCCTCAACCCTAAACCCTAAACCCCAAACCCTAAACCCTAAACCCTAAACCCTAAACCCTAACCATGAACCCTAAACCCTGGGCGCGGGGGTTGGGTCATCGTTATAGGGTGCTTACGGGAGGGGGGTTTCAACGGGTGTGTGCAACCCTAAACCTACCCCCCCATGAACCCCCCTCCCTAAACCCTAAACCCTAAACCCTGAACCCTAAACCCTAAACCCTAAACCCTAAACCCTAAACACCCTGGGCCCGGGGGTTGGGTCATGGGGGTGAGGGGCCGGGAGTGGAAGTTGGGTTGCCCTCGCCGGTCATGGGAACCCCTGCGGCGTTCAGTGACTTCAGCGTGCGGTTTAGGGTTTAGGGTTTAGGGTTTAGGGTTTAGGGTTTAGGGTTTAGGGTTTAGGGTTTAGGGTTTAGGGTTTAGGGTTTAGGGGTTAATTAGGGTTTAGGGGTTATTTAGGGCTTATGGTGTTGGGTTTTGGGTTTAGGGGTTATTTAGGGGTTTAGGGTTTAGGGTGTAGGGTTAAAGCTCCAAATTCTGAGGGCTCCATGAAGCTTAAGACCTTGCCTACATTCGGCTTCAAATACGCTGATGAAGACTTGAAAGGAGAGAGCTGTTAGGGGGGGAGGGGGAAAAGCGTCGGAAACTTCAGGCCTTCAAACCTAAACTCAAGTTTGGGTTTAGGGTTTGGGATTTAGGGTTTCTAGGGTGTTTAGGGTGTTTAGGGTTTGTAGGGTTTATAGGGTTTCCTGGGTTTATAGGGTTTCTAGGGTTGATAGGGTTTATAGGGTTTATAGGGTTTGTGGGGGGGGGGGGGGCGATCCTGAAGATCCTCCAAGCCAAGGAGTGGCTGATTCAAGCGGTGTGCGACAACTTGATGTTCTGGATACTGGCTGACGCTTAGGGCGTTTTAGGGCGTTTTAGGGCGTTTTAGGGTTTGGGGTTTAGGGTTTAGGCTTAGGGTTTAGAGCCAGGCTTGGTTGGGTTCGTTTTCGCGAGACGCTCCGTCGTGGCCAAAGGAGCCCCGGAGGGTGCAGTGACGGAAGAAAGGGGACGAGGGACGGCTGGGTGGAGTTGGGGGGTTTAGGGTTTAGGGTTTAGGGTTTAGGGTTTAGGCTTTAGGCTTTAGGCTTTAGGGTTTAGGGTTTAGGGTTTAGGGTTTAGGGTTTAGGGTTTAGGGGTTGGTTTGTTCAGGGACTTGAGGTTGCGATGCGATGAGAGGGTCGGATCTGCGAGGCTGCCCCGTTCAGGGTTTAGGACCCTGAGCCCTGAACTAGGGTTCAGGGTTCAGGGTTCAGGGTTCAGAGTTTAGGGTTTAGGGTTTGGGGTTTAGGGTCTACGTGGGGGTTTAGGGTCTACGTAGGCCCTTTAGATATCTCACTTTTTCCCTAAAACCCTAAACCCTAAACACCCTAACCCCTAAAACTGGCCGTAAACCCTAAAGGATCATGTTTAGGAATCTTTTCAGTGGGGCTTAAAGGCCAACCTAGCCTTGACCCGACACCAGCGAAGGCTGAGCCCTCAACACTCTGGCGGAATTGAGGTTCTGGTGGGTTTAGGGTTTAGGGTTTAGGGTTTAGGGTTTAGGGTTTAGGGTTTAGGGTTTAGGGTTTAGGGTTTAGGGTTTAGGGTTTATGAAGGGGTAAAAGGAGGGACCCTTGGAAGGGACCCTTCATCTTATTCCCCCTAAACAACCCCTTTATCTACCTTGTATAGTCCCTATATACCTAAGTAGCCCCCAAATAAGCCCTGAATAACCCCTAAGGTCGCTTCTAAGGGGCCCTCCTCCAGTCCCTTGAGTTTAGGGTTTAGGGTTTAGGGTTTAGGGTTTAGGGTTTAGGGTTTCGGGTTTAGGGTTTAGGATTTAGGGTTTAGGGTTTAGGGTTTAGGGTTTAGGGTTTAGCGTTTAGGGTTTAGTGTTTAGGGTTTAGGGTTTAGGGTTTAGGGCCTGAAGCCGTGAAGCTTCCAAAGCTGGGCCCTGCCCAGCAGGGATTGGCTTTTGGTCTGAGTTTCTGGCGGTACCCTTGTTATAGAGGCTGGAATCCCTTTAGGGTTTAGGGGTTAGGGTTTAGGGTTTAGGGCCTGAAGCAGTGAAGCTTCCAAGACTGGGCTCTTTGCACCGTCTTCTGTTTTGGTTTCAGAAGGGTTGACCACTGGTATACCAAAAGCGCTAAACTAAAAACCTTACAACGCTGCATCCCTAAAGCGCAAAACCCTGGGCCCCTAATTACTTGCCTGCAGTTTTGGGTCTTGGGGTTTAAGGGAAAAGGCGGGGGGGGGGGGGGATTGGCTGGCCCAAATGTTGCAACGCTCTAATCTCAGTATCTAAGACAAAGGAAGGGAGGCTAAACCCTAAACTCTACGCACTTTAAGGTTTCTGGTGCCGATTGAGCAGAGGCAGCATGAAAGTACAAATCTTTGGGCCCTTAACCCTGAGCCCTCAACCCCAAACCCTAAGCCCCGAACCCTAAACCCTGAACCCTATAAACCCCAAACCCTAAACCCCAAACCCTAAACTCTAACCCTAAACCCTAAACCCCAAACCCCAAACCCTAAACCCCAAACCCTAAACCCTAAACCCCAAACCCCCAAACCCTAAACCCCCGAACCTGTGCCTGGCTCATCAGTTTCACGTTCTTAGACCGGTCTGGGTCTGCCTGGGGCATTGGACCGGCTGCTGCCTCATGCGGGATGGGTGATTTAGGGTTTAGGGGTTTAGGGGTTTAGGGTTTAGGGTTTTTAGGGTTTTTAGGGTTTAGGGTTTAGGGGTTTGGGGTTTAGGGTTTATAGGGTTTGGGGTTTAGGGTTTAGGGGGTGATTTAGGGTGTGGGGGTTTGGTGTTTATAGGGTTTGGAGTTTGGGGCTTCGAGTTTCGGGTTTGGGGTTTGGGGTTTAGGGTTTAGGGTTGGGCGAGTTTGGGGCTTCGAGTTTCGGGTTTAGCGAGGACTGTCTTGATGTTTCCACGCTATAGGCGGTGCGAGTATCTCTCATCGGGAAGTTGACCCGCGCGGTGTTCCCGTAACACTCTCGGCTATTAGATGGCCTTCGAGGCTTGCATCACTCCGACGCACTTTCCTCCATTCTGCGTTCTTGGAAGCGTTGGCTTATCTGTTCCCCTGGGGGGTTTGCAATGTTGCGGCGTTGCACATGCCACTCTCGCCTCCGTCCTGTGGCGCATGCTCCTCGTGAAGTGCAGACATGTTGATTTTCTTTTGGGCCCTTGAGTGCCCACCCTAAACCCCAAACCCTAAACCCTAAGCACCCTAAACCCCCAAGGTCACAGGGCATAGGGTTTAGGGTTTAGGGTTTAGGGTTTGGGGTTTGGGGTGTTCACCCTTATACTAACAGCCCTTAATAAGAAGTTTTGTACCCCGCATTACAATCCCAATTCAGGACTGTTAGTATAGGGGGGAGCATCCCAAGACAGAGGTGGTCTGAAGATCTTGGTGGTCTGTGCCGACATTTGTTTTGATGTAGCTGAAATTTAAATATTTCGGGTTTAGGGTTTAGCGTTTTAGGGTTCAGGGTTTAGGGCTTAGAATAGATTGATAGACAACCCTTCTGACCCGGAATGTGTCTACTCTACTCCCTGAGCGCAGGACGCCTGTTGGAAGAGCTTTAGGAAGCAGGGGTGTCTTAGCCTTGTTATCAACCTGGACCTAAACCTAACAAGACCTTGAGCGTTTCGGGTTTGTGGCCCAACATTCATGCATATTCATGCCTTGGGGCTTTAAGTTTGAGGAACCCCTAAACCCCAAACCCTCGTGTATGTGGGGCCCGAATTCTGGTGATATGTGGTTTCCACGCTAGCACGGAGCCTGATATGTAGGTTAGCCACAAAGGGTCCACGATTAAGAGAATCCCGCCCTTCCCACACATAGCCACTGGTTCAGCTTTAAGACTCTTAGGTTTTGCTACGGTTTCCGCATGTGGCAGGAAGAACCAAACGTACGCCGTGCACTTACGTACCCCTCACCCCAACAAGCTCTGCCCCCACCACGAAATTGCATAGATGTTCAGCTGTGAGACTGATGTCTTGAAAGAATACTGCGACTCCTCTAGACGTCTTGGAATAGATCGATGGCTAGGGCCCCTAAACCTAGGAAAATTAGGAGCAGCTTGGGTGAATAGCCCGACACCCGCCAACGAGGAATTCTTCATGCTGGACGAAAGCGATGTTACAGAGGAGGGTTCGGGTTTGGAGCGTTGAAGGGGCCAGGGTTTACATAGGTTTTCCGGGGCAGCAGTAGGGCTTTAAAGGTTAGGGTTTAGTTGTCAACGCTTGGGAATGCAGACTCTGCGCTAATCTGAAGAATTCTCTAAACCCTAAAGCCATAAACCCTAAACTCCACACGAGGACCTGAACCCTGAAACCTCAACCCTAAACCCTAAACCCTAAACCCTAAACCCCCTGGTTCTTAGTAGGGAATGAGGGAATCAGGGCCCCATACAATCCCTTAAAGGGTATATATATATATATAGCGCCCTTATTCCCTCATTCCCTACTAAGAACCAGCGAGTAAACTCAACCTGAAGTTGATCTCCCTACACCCTATGGTCAACCCCCTTGGAAGTCCCAATGGAACTATGCTGGCGTTGTGATTTTAAGGGAGGGCCGAGGGCTTAGAGTTCTCTTAAGACTACTAGGACCCAGAGTAGGCCCTTATTCCCTTTTCTCTCGGGTTTAGGTTCCCTTCGAAGCCCCTCTAGGCGAAAAAGGGTGTCTTGTTTATTCCTAGGCTACTCTTGGGTCTGGACTCTTGCATGAAGTGGGCTGAAAAATGAGACGGCAGCGGCGTTGGGCAGTTTAGGGTATTGTTCCAAGCAAGTTGGGGCTCAAGATCCCGTGGGAAAAGGGGAGCTCTTAGAGGGTATGGGTGGCCAAACCAGAAGATCAGGGCGTCGGGATTTTGAAGTTTAGGGTTTGGGGTTTAGGGTTTAGGGTTTAGGGTTTAGGAGCAGAGCCGTTTGGAACTTAATTTTGGGCTCTTTGTCACTTCCATCTTATGTTCACCAATCTCTCCGGAACTAGTATTACATTCACCTCTTGTTCACCCATCACACCTTGAGACCCTTCCCATCTTGTATAATATGACCTCTAAGTTCTTGGAATCACCACTTTTAATTAGGTGTTCTATCACGAGGGCGGTGTTGACAAGGAGTTAAGGCGTCATGAGATTGATGGTGTACGAAAGTAAACCACTGGTCGACTATAATGTCATGTTGGTTTGCTCTCTAAACAAGGATTTTAACTATGAACAGGGGTTATTCCTCAAATCCTTCTGTTACTTGAGGTTATGTTCTCAAGACCGGGGAATTACAACCCAGAATTAGAGACCGCCCTAGAGGTAACAGTGAACAAAGGAGGAATCAAGAGAGAGATGAATGGCACGGTTTCTGTGTTTGGCTCCTTGTCAAGAAAGTTCCTGTCACGTAGAAAGACTCATGATGGTACGGTTTCTATGTTTGGTTCTTAGTGGCTTGGATACAGAGGCTGGGTCACAGGGTGCGTTCTCGGTTCACCTTCTTAATACTGCGTGATTCTTCTTCGTTCATTACCAGTATTCATACTGTGAAGAGAACACCAAAACCCTGTGAACAAAACCTCCGTCCCTTGTGCTCTCCTTGCTAGTTCATGTGTCCAGTTCATTGAGGTCATTCAGTTAATCCAGTTCATAGTTTCCCCTCAGTTCCAGCACATGAAAACCTAATTTAAGCAGTCTTTTAATAAGTCTTCTTGTCCAGTTCATCTGTCACCAGGGTCACTCAATCCCGACCTGAGCGTGCGCCGGGTGTCGCATCTGTATTCCCATCACCAGCTGTGGCATGTGCATGGTGGCACCGCGAATGATGCATTGCATGTGCTGTACGAGAAGCCGTGCGCGGCCGAGCTCGCGCAGGTGT